GCCAGGAGCTGCGTTTAGAGGCTTTGTCGTTATCTTGCGGCTGGCTCTGCCTGCTCCTGTCGGTGCTAACCTTATCAAGCATTTCTTCGGTCACTGACTTTGATTTAAGGGACGATTTTCTCCGTGTCTGCAGCTCTCTTGTGTTCTCGCCTTTAGAAAAGGAGCAAGGGTTGTAACCTAAATCAAAGTGGTTTAACGTTGGTTTTCTTTTCCTTGTTATTTAGCGATCCAAGCTGGAACGTTCTTTGTTTTAGGGGCAGGAAAGGATTTTGTGCATCAGGGCTACAACGCAGAGCCGTGATGCGGTGATTTGAGGTCAGTAACTGCATCAGAACCGAGTATGCGAGTCCGTCCCCTGCGCCCGTGACGAAGGTTCTCCAGTGCAGCTGCAATGACAAATGTTACTGGTGAAGGGAAGTGGTTTCCTCTGGTTACTTTTGAATTCTTGAGTTATTTGAGTTACACTGGACAACTTCGGACCATACGTGTTTTCTGCTTGGGTTTGTGTGGGTGTTTTTATTTCTAATTGACATGGAGATACTAGAAAAATCTTTGCTGTGTCAGTGAGGCTTTGGTAGCCCAGCACTTGAGCAAAATCCTCTTATGCCAAAGCTGTGTGCCTGGGAGCAGGGCATCGCTGCTGTCGTCGGGAACTCGCCGTTTAAAACCTTTATTTGCTGCAGAATCATTCTCTGCTGTGGCCACTAGTGGAGAACTTGCAGGTACGTTGTGACTTCAGCCCTCTTGTCCCCTCAACCCCCTGTGTGTCGATCAGGAGATCAGCTCACTGATTTTTCTGCTTTGAAGACCCATTCATATTCCTGGTCAGTGTGCATAAGGGATTGAGAGGAGTCTTTCGTCTTCCCTGTTGAAGGGGTTTTTTTCCCTTTACTATTTAGGGGCAACCTCAGGCAAAGTAAGGACTTTCTGTTAAAAAAAAAAAAACCACAAAACAACCAAAACAAGATAATGGCAGTGCAAAATAGAACCAGGGGTTCCTGATATTATCTTCTTTTCTGATAGCTTCCAGCTGTCAGTGCCTCCTGCGAGAGGTGAAAATGGGGTCTGCAAGCAAAGGGGTAAGCGCCTGAAAAATTGCATGTGTCTAAGAATGCGCTTTCCCAGGCATATTCTCATGTAAAGGTTTGTTTTTCTTTTTTTTTCTGGAGGAAAACATTTGAAAAAGATGTCACAGTCAGTCAATAGAAGAATACCATCTCTTCTGGATTTCATTTATTAGCTGAGGTTGCGGTGCTGGGTGCCCCGAGTCACCGTTTATTTACAGCAGGCAGCGTTGTCTTGGTGACAAAGAAACCCTGCTAGAAAACCCTAAACTTTGGCTGTTTCCTTACTGATTTTCATTTTCTGGTTTTGTTGGCTTGTTTGTGTGAAGAAGTTGTTCTTTCTCCAGTTATCTTTTTCACGAGCTGCCTTCCCATGGTTTCTGGGATCCTCGGCCCGGAAGCTGAGCGATCCTTCGCTGGAGGCGTGCATTGAAGGCGGGACGTGGTTTTGTCCTGGGTGCCCCGAAGAAGCTGTGCGGCTCGATGGACTCCGTGGGTTGAGAGGTGGATTAGTGGAATTCCGAGTTGTTGGGCTGGTGATGGGGTTTTGTAGTTTTAAATGGTGGCTGTAGATACGGAATTGCTTTACACTTCTGTTCCACTGCTAGCAGGAGCCATCAGTGCTTGCTGTCTTGTTGCATTTTATGCATTTTTTTGGTGCTTTATTAATTTAAAATACTGTGTTAAACTCGGTGCAAAAAGCTTGAAGACTTTTAACCTGTACGAAAAAGCAAACGCAGCCGTACAGAGGTATTTCCCGTTAAATGAGTTATAACAGTTGTGAGGGTTTTTCTCTATTCAGTGTTGCCAGACTGGAGACCTTGTAGCTTCAGAGAAGATACGCAAAAGCTGCTTTTGTGTTTTTTTTATTAATCTTTCTGGAGTAAGCCTCATGCAAAACCAAAGGTGTGTTACAGCAACGTATTCTGCTGGGAAAAAATGGCATCTGTCGATCTGGGTACGTATTTCAAGTGCTGCGGCTGGGCGGGGGGGCGGTCTTCAGCAGCTGGGCTGACGCTGGAACCAGCAGCTTTGCTTTTCAACGTGATGCATGTGGCATGCGAGCGGGCTGGCGACCAACCGTGGTATCCGAAACAGGATCGGTAAATCTGAAGTCTGGCGCTTGCTATGCTTTGTGCTTTGTGCAAGTCCTGAATCTGCGGTCTCGCAGGTGCCGGTTTTGCCTGTACCTTTTAGTTGACGTTCGTTTGGTTGCATTATTATTATTTGCATAGCCGAACTAAAAGCTTAGAGGTTTTTTTGGACTTGTGTGTGGTCGTGGCACAAAGGTTGAACATGCAAAATGATGAGGGTTTTAGGGCTGTTAGCTGTGATACACTGCAGTGGCACACATCTTGGGTGCCATAGTCACGTATTTTTAAAGTATACAAAATGTAAGACGAGATAAATCTGTTATTAACATCTATAAAAATATACAGCACTGTGCATTTTGATCATCATCCTTCTTGGTTTAGCAACCCTTAGGACCCTGATAAAGAGGCAAATTCAGCGACAGGGGTTTAAGTTTTATTCTGTGTCTCCCTGCGGGGGAATTTCAGCGCTTGTACCGGAGGTGAGAGGACAGCCAGCTTCCCGCTGGGCTGCGGCACCCCGTCGGGGGTGGGCTGGGCATTGAAGTGAAGATGCTGGATTAACTGGGGCATCCAAGCGAGTCACGTGCTCTGTTTTGCCATCCTGCCTAGGATCAGTAATCCCCACCAAAGACTGCTGAAACTGCTCGGGTGAATTCAGCTGCGACACACGGAGCTCCTAGACCAAAAATTGGAAAGCAAATAGTTGCTAGCTGAGAGGGCTAGAGGTTTTAAAAAGCCGAAGAGCAAAGGTCTTTATCTTCAGCTGGGTTTTAAGAGCAATAAAGACTGCCTGTTCTTGCTGCTTCGTATCTCTGTGGCGGCTGATGTGAACTGATAGGAGTTTTTAATCAGATGAAGCGGTCACCGTCGCCCGCCTTTCATGGCGGGAGGGAGGAGGGCTGGGAAAAATACAGCTTTGGAAATTCAGCCTTCTGTTCTCTATAGGCTCAGATTTCTAGGTGAGGATTTGTACTCGGGGCAGGGCAGCTGAGGAGCCTTGCAGGTGTTTGTGCCCTTGGAGTTGCTAAGGTCTAGTTTCTCAGGTATGTCTGTCTGCCTCCTAACCGCTGCGGAAGGAACTTGCGTCTCGAGGTAGGCAGATACCGTGAAATTCCCGTGGAAAAGTCAGTGTCTTTGTAGTGTCTTCTGCTGTGTCAGTGGTGCTTTGAAAAGCTTCGTTAGATTTGATTATTTAACACCCTTACTTTAAACTTTTGAGGGTTCTGGCTCTCAAAATTTCTTTTAAAGGGGCTTTAGAGGAATCTGAGGGAAGAGCAAAGGCCTTGTGGTTCATAGCGTTACCCAGGTAAGTGACCCCAGGGCAGCTAATATTGCTCCGTATTCTCCGTGAGCAAGTAGTGTTTCTTCTACTCTGAGAAGTCTTCTGGCATGGCTTAGGCCTGTAGCTAGTGGTGTCCCTCCGGGGTCAGTACTGGGCCCAGTCTTGTTCAACTTCATCAACAACCTGGATGAAGAGTTAGAGCGTACCCTCAGCCAGTTTGCTGGTGACACCAAACTGGGAGGAGTGGTGGATACAGCGGCAGGCTGTGCTGCCATCCAGCGAGACCTGGACAGGCTGGAGAGTTGGGCAGAGAGGAACCTGATGAGGTTCAACCAGGGCAAGGGCAGGGTCCTGCGCCTGGGGAGGAACAGCCCCAGGCACCAGTCCAGGCTGGGGCTGAGCTGCTGGAGAGCAGCTCTGCGGAGAGGGACTGGGAGTGCTGGGGGACGACAGGGTGACCATGAGCCAGCAGCGTGCCCTGGCTGCCCAGAAGGCCAATGGTCTCCTGGGGTGCATTCAGAGGAGTGTGGGCAGCAGGGCGAGGGAGGGTCTCCTCCCCCTCTGCTCTGCCCCACTGAGGCCCCATCTGCAGTGCTGTGTCCAGTGCTGGGCTCCCCACTTCAAGAAAGATGAGGAGCTACTGGAGAGAGCCCAGCGCAGGGCTCCAAGGATGAGGAGGGCACTGGAGCATCTCTCCTAGGAGGAGAGGCTGAGGGAGCTGGGCTTGTTCAGCCTGGAGAAGAGAAGGCTGAGAGGGGACCTTGGAAATGCCTCTAAATATCTGCAGGGTGGGGGTCAGGAGGAGATATTCCAGCCCCGCCTGGCCGCGGTGCTGTGCAGCCTGCTGTGGGTGACCCTGCTTGGGCAGGGGGTTGGGCTGGGTGACCCACAGAGGGCCCTTCCAACCCCTGATGTTCTGGGATTCTGTGTGATATGGTTAGGAGATTTCATCCAGTAAGTGAATGTGGGAACATTGGGAGTAATGAAAACTCGGAAGCCATGGAACTTTTTTATATTTCATGCTGGGATTTCCCCTTTCACGTGTATGCATTTTATTAGAAGTATAACCTTGGGAAATCTTGAGAATGTTGCAAAGCACTGCAGATCTAGTTGTCTGGATCAGTTTTTCTGTTTGTACGTGACGTGCTGTAGAGTACCAAATGGATGCTCTTAGGATTAATGTGTAGTAGTTGATTACAGAAGGAGCTTGTAAAGTTGCTGGAGAAAGCTTTGTGTATCTGTGGGCCAGAATTAGTCTGTTCCTGTATTAGGAACTGCAAATCAGATTGGAGTACTTAATCTGTAAATACTGGAAAACACCGGTGGCTATGATGAGCTGGGGATGATTCACAGATCTGTGCGGTATTTGAAGACCAAAGCTTGAAAAATGTTTGTGCTTGGTGTTCCTCCTGTGCACACCCCTGTCCTCCCAGCCACACCGTGAGCCTTAAAACTGTGCACTGTGGCCGACAAAGTGGTCTGGGGAATTAGTAAACCAGTCTTGATGTTTTATTATCCTCTGTCCCAAGTAAGCGTGTGGTTTTTGTCTTTCAGTACGTGCAAGCAGATGCTCCTACCAATAAAACACTGGCTGGGCTGGTGGTGCAGCTGCTGCAGTTCCAGGAAGATGCCTTTGGAAAACACGTCACCAATCCTGCCTTCACAAAGCTTCCTGTGAGTATCGGGGTTAACCCGCTGAAGTCTGGTCTTCCTCCGGTGTCGCCGGCCCGCGTCCGGGTGGTCGGGAGATCTGCGCTTGCTCTGAAGCTGTTGGTGCTGCGTCCTCTGGGAAGGGTGGAATAGCACACTCCTTAAAAGCAGATTTTCAGTGGGATACAGCTCATTTTCTATACGTTTGGAAGTGATTTTCTAAATATTTTGGAAAGGTTTTAAATTCTAGTAAAATTGTATGTATATTGTAAGTCAAATCTGTTTGGATCGGTGCATCCTGGGCTGACTGAATAACATGAGCTTTCCAAAGGAAACAACTTCCCACTGGGCATTTCTGTTGATTAAACTTCAAACTCATAACCCTGTTAACGCTTGAAAAATGGCTTTACCGTGTTCTTTAGCAGCACGCAGTTACCTAACTGGTCTGAGATAGTTTTCCAGTCACTGAGTTTATTGGTGTACAGAAACAATATCAACATTGTAAGGGTTGCTTATTTAAAGTTCCACCTCAGCACATCTGTAGTGGTAGCACCCGAGTGATTGCGTGCAGAGATCAGTCCTGCTGTGCTTGGAACCTTGCCTGTCACCAAAAGGATCTCGTCCAGGGCGGCGTGAAGCCAAAACAGCTGAGAGAGAGGAGAGGGACGCAGCAGATGGTAAGGACGGAGTGACACAGGGATTTGGGCTGTGAAGGGCAAGGACTGCAGCGTGGTACCAGGCACCCAGTTGGCTGATTCCGGGTAGGATTTGTGGGCTAAGACAACTGTCGTAAACGTGTGTGACAGAGAGGAACCTGATGAGGTTCAACCAGGGCAAGTGCAGGGTCCTGCGCCTGGGGAGGAACAACCCCAGGCACCAGTCCAGGCTGGGGCTGAGCTGCTGGAGAGCAGCTCTGCGGAGAGGGACTGGGAGTGCTGGGGGACGACAGGGTGACCATGAGCCAGCAGCGTGCCCTGGCTGCCCAGAAGGCCAATGGTCTCCTGGGGTGCATTCAGAGGAGTGAGGGCAGCAGGGCGAGGGAGGGTCTCCTCCCCCTCTGCTCTGCCCCACTGAGGCCCCATCTGCAGTGCTGTGTCCAGTGCTGGGCTCCCCACTTCAAGAAAGATGAGGAGCTACTGGAGAGAGCCCAGCGCAGGGCT